GTTAGCCAAGTCAAAGCCAGATATCAAGCTCATCCTAGCGACAAACAAGGAGCCAGTCTAGTGTTCTTGGTAAGGGGAGGACAACAGGGAATTATGCAAGTGGACGGCCGATGTAGCCTAGTGTTCGGAGGAAACGGAGTTAGTGGGAAATGGTCTGTAGTGACGATGAATCTTTGCAACCACGTCGCAAAAGGTAGTTAGGTAATAGGCCTTTTGAGGGGTTATATAGTCCCTATTTGAGATTTACAAACCTGGGGTATAAGTAGGCTGTAATACGTACTTTTAGAAATCTCAAATTAGAGCTTAGGTTAGAGAAGAGGGCAGGAATAGCCATGTTAGTGCAGTCACCCTCACCGCCTTTATGGGGAGGTATTGTTTTTTTGAGCCAATCAAAAGGTCGAACAGCGACGCCGGTGTAAGGTCGACGCCGGTGTATCAATTTGCGACGCCGGTATATCAATTCCCTAATGTAGATGCCCGAATTTCTCAATCCGGAGTACTCGGAGGTTGGATACCTTATAAGCACAACATATTATTTTCGTGATTTCCGGTTGCGTTGATCCTAAGTCTCCGGTGTCTCGTGCGTTCTGATTTGCCGGTGAGTCCCATGCTCCACAGGAGCACAAACCTTCTACAATATTACACTTTCTTCTACAGGACAAAACAGTCGCGATGCGGTCGACAATCTATCTTTCACAGTCATACGGAGGAAGAATCTCCATCCAAAATGATTTTCACGCTTCAAAGCGAGGGATGGACAGCGTGCAAATACTGGTCTTCATCGGCGAAGTGTAAGTAGTACGAGTATCTATGATACACGCTGAAACATCTAGTGTAAGCTTTAGACCATCATTTTGAGTTTATTTATCAGCAGGAGCAACTGAACACAGTGGAGACTGCATCGGGTTCCATAAGCCGATACATGAAGAACCACGTAAAGCTCGTTCTTCTGCGAGTTGTATATCAAGCCCCTGCAGACAAACCCGGACACGGGTTGCCCGTTACTTCAATGCGCTGCTCTACACCCGTCGGTGTCTTACACGTCCCCGACTCTGATACAGTGGCCCAGCGTTACAATAAGATGTTGACTCGGGTTCATAACGTCTCCGTTGTCCCGTCGACCCCATACGGTGTACCCGCATAAACTTTCACTTTCTGGCTGAGATTTCCGCCGCGCTGTTCCTCGAGCTTATCAGCTAATAACATGGTTCAGGGGGCCGGCCGTGATAAGGTGACACAACATCATCCAACTCAAGGAGATTCATTTGTAAGAAGTTGAAATGCATGAAACCAGTGTATGTCTGCGATGGAGTGCGAGTTCTCTAGGTATGTATCTAAGCCATGTGTCCACCGAGAAAGCAACGCGCACAGCGGACTTCAGCAGGTTTATCCCAAATTTTGCCTGGCTGTGTTTAATTCTTTTTTTTTTGGCAAGATCTTGCACGCCTTTTCTACCACAATCCTTGAGGAAATGAGTTACAGGATGTCCTCAGATTCGAATACCGTCTGCTCATACAAGGAACTTCTCAATTCAGAAAATGACCGCTACGTCGAGGAAACCGGAATCACCGCGGCATCGCAGCAATCGGCACGCCGCTATACCTGGCTCCTTCCCGTTTTTTCAATGGGCTGGGTCATTACAACGTTGATTTGTACAGCAATTGCTTTAGCTAGCTGGCACAATACCCAGAAACTTGATTCTATCAATGGACTTATCCAGCGAAGCCTTGTCATAGACTCGGACCTCCTAAAATACGCAAACGAACACAGATACCAAGGCCTCCCACAGCCTTCAAACGCACTCATGCAGATGGTAACTATCGATGGACTCGAAGTTCCAGGTTATGAGCTCAAGTACAACGCGAGCTATTGCGACGAGTTCGCCAATCCAGCCGGTGCTCCTTCGCGCGGGTGCGTCCTAGATCGCGTTCAAGGAGGTTGGGTGCCCGAAGTCTGCTCTGACCGAGAGTTGCGAGAAGCTTGGGATTCGATGCCGGATTTCGGATGGTGGCTCGACGAGGCGCGTACTCAGAAAATTTCTCAAGAGCGTGTGTATCGTGGCGATCCGGATATTGCAGGCCGTACTGTTTACACGAGCGTCAATTACCACCTGCATCACTGCGTTGCAGTGATGCGTCTTCGCAACAAGAACAGCTTGCGAAAGGATCGCGGCCTGACGTTTCACATGCTCAGCCACCATCATATTGAGCATTGCTTTGATCGGTTTTTAGATTGGCTTACTCCGGAGGGGATCAATATCACAAAAATGCCGACAGAAATACGTTTTTCGAGCGCCGGCGTTGTGGATAACAAGGACAAAAGAACTTCCGAGTGTTATGTACCAGTTTAGCATCTATCAATGATGGTCGATACAGGGAAACATTTGTGTCTTACCCAGTACATGCTCGCGAAAACTTCCAATCTGATCAGTCTTCTTGTAGGCCGTGAATTGCACTGTGAGAATGGATCGAAAATAAAGAAGCAAGAGAATGAAATCTAACCCATTTCACAACATGAATGCATTTTCAAAGGTCTTCGTCTCCGATGGTGATTGAGATAACTAGTCCACGTTTCAGAAATCAAACGAGTCTGGCTTGATAAGACTTGATAGATATCTAGTTTGAAATCTGCTCCAACTTGACATAGGACCGGCGGACCATTCCTGAATTCCACTTCCAGTACTTTGGAACCACCCATATACAACAGACCAGTATGACACACCAACCCGTGACAGCCGCAGACCACCATCTCGACTTTCCAGCAACACAAAGACCTCTGTATCTCAAGTCAGCAGGAATTGGCTGACGAGTATCTGCCCACTCACAGTAACGTGTTTAACCATCCGCTGATCATGCTGATGTACCCGATTCGACGGTGCCATTTAGTAAAAGCAGTCTGCCGTCCAGTCTTCAAGAAACAATCGTGATGTAAGTAGCCGAGGCTAGGCGCCATGAAAAGGCCGATACCTATGAGCATCCCAATTATTTGGTGGCTTCCTCTAGTAGACGGGACCTGGAGCAACGAAAAGTAAGTACCGCCATGTAGCAGGGTCCAGTAGTATTCTTGAAGTATTGAGCATTGCGTACCTCTATGATGAGTTTTGATGCGTATATACCCAAGCCAATTCCGCATGCAGCAGTAACGGCGGAAACGGTCTGTATTATCCAATGAATGCAGAATGAACTTTCATTTTTGTTGCGAATGATAACAACAGCAGTTGGCATCAACACCAAGAACGCAAGTGCTTGGAGAGCGCCGTGAGCTACGTATGGTGATAACCTTCGGCTCGAAGAGGGGCCACCGTGCTTGCTCGGGCCAAAATCTAAGTTGCGGTCGTTGTTCAAGAGGCCAAGTGGGATTGCCCTGTCTTCTTCGGAGTAACTAGCCTTCATATTCAATTGAAATGTGTCTGGTTCGAGTGATACTTCAGTGGGACGCCGGTAAGAACGAGTAGCTAGCTTCATCTTACCGTAGAAGGTGTGCAAGGTTAAAGGCTTGGTTTGGTCGTCAGTCTGCATCAGCCAGTCGTAATTGTTTGCAAACACCCAGGGCTGTTTCTCCGAGTGTACGCTGAACTTGTTTCCAGACCATGTATCACAGCTGTAGCAAACGATTCCAACGTTATGATACGAGCCGTCAACCGTAGCGTTAGTTACCGAGTATGAAGGTCCATCGTGCGCAACTTCTGGCGGATTGTGAAAGCTGGAGCCGATGCGATTTAGTTGTCGCACAAATCATAGGAGCACTGGGGAAACCAGGTTATTACTTACTGCGTTGTTCGCAGGCTGAAGGTGACGTCTGTGAGTTGATCAGCTTACAGTCTTCCCAACGTCCATTCAGAATAAATGTAGATACCTTCTGCACGCCGGCCCGGGTAAAGGACAAACATCAAAGCTCCATCCATCAATGATCCTATTCCGAAAGCTGCATAGCCTTTACGCTCTTCAAACTTTGCCGAAAGATACAGCTGAAGATCGTTCCCCCCAGAAGAGGCATTGTGATAAGAAAAAGCAACGATGCATTGATCGACGTTGTGTCTCTTGTCAATGGTGCAGTACTGTACTGGTGAGGCTGTCGCGTGTATGGTATTAAGAAGGAGATACACAAGCAATAATGACCAGCAGGCCTGAGAACGCCTGTAGCTAATTGCCTGTATACCCATAATGACCAGCAGCTCGATTGGATATGTCAGTAGGTATACTGACGTGTCGGAGAAGCGAAATGCGTTCAGTTGAACAGCTCACAGGCAGACCTGCAGATAGGACACGAAATGCACACATACACTCGATGGAGAGAGAATTTAGAAATCTCTGATATAACGATATTGCGTGCTGAGCCGGACGAATCACGCAGAGCCTTTGCGTCGCAAACCGGCACCTCGATGAACGGATCCACGGAGTAGCAATCAGATCAGACGGTCGCTCTCTTACGCCCTCAACTAATTATTTCGCCGATTTGATGATGACAAATTTTCCGAAGCAGAATGCCGTCGACAGCAGTTTAACTCGCGAGGCCGGGCAGTAAACTCTAATTATGTACCGACGGGGTGTTTGGAGGCCCTGGGCGTATTCGAAAGAAACCCCTGGACGGTAGAGGAAACACCTGATATCCACACAGTGCACTGTTTTCTCTAACTCAACAACGGGTAAGTGACCATCTCGGTGGGGTTAGATAAAGTGTAATTAATGAACTGGTGGCTAAAGTCGGCAAGAACAATGTCCAAAGTACATTGGGCGTACGGCTCACATAGAGACTGTATTGGCGGCCAAAAAAAAACCTTGAAGAAAAAGCAGCTTTGAATGAGGAACAGCCCGTATTGAGAGATGCATTGAATGCCCCTCGATGTTGTATATAGTTGACATGCCTGGCGCACTATAAGACAAAGTCCTTCTCTATAAAGCACTTAGTCAATCACATCAACAGTATATCCAATCTAAACCACAGTGTTTTGTCCATGTACCAAAATCTCGCTTTGAATCACAGGGGTAAGTTTTGCAACCATGAGGCCCGCTGTGATCGCCGCTCTGCTCGCCTCTTCGGCGTTTGCCCTACCGACCGCATCGCGCTCCCAGGAGTCCATTGAAAAAGAGTTGGACGAACTCAACGCCTCAGAGCCTTGGGAGAAGCGCCAGAGTGTCGGTATTTACGGAGGCAAGAGCGCTTCCTCCACTGACTCCGACGACGTCGAGAAGCGCCAGAGTGTCGGTATTTACGGAGGCAAGGGCGCTTCCTCCACTGACGCTGACGACGTCGAGAAGCGCCGGAGTGTCGGTATTTACGGAGGCAAGGGCGCTTCCTCCACTGACTCCGACGACGTCGAGAAGCGCCAGAGTGTCGGTATTTACGGAGGCAAGAGCGCTTCCTCCACTGACTCCGACGACGTCGAGAAGCGCCAGAGTGTCGGTATTTACGGAGGCAAGGGCGCTTCCTCCACTGACGCTGACGACGTCGAGAAGCGCCAGAGTGTCGGTATTTACGGAGGCAAGGGCGCTTCCTCCACTGACGCTGACGACGTCGAGAAGCGCCAGAGTGTCGGTATTTACGGAGGCAAGGGCGCTTCCTCCACTGACGCTGACGACGTCGAGAAGCGCCAGAGTGTCGGTATTTACGGAGGCAAGGGCGCTTCCTCCACTGACTCCGACGACGTCGAGAAGCGCCAGAGTGTCGGTATTTACGGAGGCAAGAGCGCTTCCTCCACTGACTCCGACGACGTCGAGAAGCGCCAGAGTGTCGGTATTTACGGAGGCAAGGGCGCTTCCTCCACTGACGCTGACGACGTCGAGAAGCGCCAGAGTGTCGGTATTTACGGAGGCAAGGGCGCTTCCTCCACTGACGCTGACGACGTCGAGAAGCGCCAGAGTGTCGGTATTTACGGAGGCAAGGGCGCTTCCTCCACTGACGCTGACGACGTCGAGAAGCGCCAGAGTGTCGGTATTTACGGAGGCAAGGGCGCTTCCTCCACTGACTCCGACGACGTCGAGAAGCGCCAGAGTGTCGGTATTTACGGAGGCAAGAGCGCTTCCTCCACTGACTCCGACGACGTCGAGAAGCGCCAGAGTGTCGGTATTTACGGAGGCAAGGGCGCTTCCTCCACTGACGCTGACGACGTCGAGAAGCGCCAGAGTGTCGGTATTTACGGAGGCAAGGGCGCTTCCTCCACTGACGCTGACGACGTCGAGAAGCGCCAGAGTGTCGGTATTTACGGAGGCAAGGGCGCTTCCTCCACTGACTCCGACGACGTCGAGAAGCGCCAGAGTGTCGGTATTTACGGAGGCAAGGCCTCTGCGGAGACCGACTCCGAGGACACCGCTTAAATTGAGGAAGGAACACTCTGATCCTAGGGCCTCCTTCACATGCAATGGCATCAGTCAACTGCATAGCATGTTGCTGGGACTCGCTTCGCAGGATCAACAAATGCCCACATCGTTCGATAACGAGCAGGGATGTTTTTCAGTGTCCAGTCTTGCAAATAAGTCTTAAACTAGGAAAAAGGGGAAAGGGAAAATAGGAGCAGCGAAACTTTTAGCCTTATGATAAACGAGAGTCTGTAGTAAATGCGAGTTCCGTTATCCCTAGGCCGCCATGTCCCAGCTGACATATCTCACATGCCTCTCGCCTACCTTTTCTTGGCATCTTTTGTTAGCGAAATAGGCGACTCCTTACGCAAATCCCTAACAGCGGAAAGCTCTTCGTCTTCCCTCCCCGGAGTCCCCTGGGGATGGCCCCGCAGCCGCCGGGCTTCTGGTCCGTGTCGGCTTTATGCAACGGGCTCGATCTAAGCTCTGTTACTCAAGACTACTTATAGTCAAAGCGGTAAAGGATGAAGTGTTTGGAAATCCGATCGAATGTTGACCTTGGACGATCTTATGGGATCGTCCTTTAATGTGACGGTAGTGATACGTCGAGGAGACTAGGTTACTTCAAGTTTCTGCACGAGGAGGTAGATTAGCATTGTTTTTCACCAGGAATTACGCAGAGAACTTTTTCTTAATTAGAAATCCATCGCAGATAGAGTTCGAGCCCAGATAGTAAATGCGAACCTTTAGACGTAATGCACGATTGGACTTTTATGTGTGGCGGCCCCGGTTCCCCTCTCAATTTCTATCCCTCAGTGATTTTGTAATGTTGGTCTTCTTGAGTTTGGCGGGCGGGCTCCTATGAGGTCCGTCTGAGGAAGAGGCGGTAGCTCATAAGGGCACTCAAGGGCTGCATTCGGGGTTTCGTCATGGTCGTGGTCAGGTTAGGTTATGATTGAACCCGTTATGTTACGAACGTCCGGATGTCTACGGGGAGTATGTCGTTCATGGTTACGGTTGTGAGACATATGGCTCTCCTGTAGTCTAAATTAAGTGGAAGTTATTGGTTGTCTATGTATTAATCTATAGACCGTGAAGCTGAATGGATCTGATAGCAAACCTCTGCTTAATATACTTAGTAGTCGGGCAAATATGTATATGTCCCTCTCTAATTGTTCTTGAGATCCAGGAGGTAGGCAGGAGGATACACGATATACGAACCCATTGGTCTCCTAGGCACCAAGGCATCAAAGGAAACAAAGAAGCAGACAGCCTAGCTAAGGAGGGCACAACCCTACTAGTCCCAAGGGGACAGCTAGCAACTCTATCAGGGATCAAACGGCTTGCTAAGGAGCGTATACGTCGCCAATACAGAAAATGGTGGATACCCCTCGGGAGGTCAGCCGCAAGGGCGGCAGCGCCTTTGCCGCCATGGCGTTAAATACAACAACAACAACAACAACAACACTTGCCTTATTTCTATTTTTAATTATGAAGAATTCTAATTAACGGGGCTTACCTAAGGGATACAGTACGCACGTAACAAGTAGAGAGTTGTTGTTGTTGTTGTTGTTGTTGTATTTAACGCCGTGGCGGCAAAGGCGCTGCCGCCCTTGCGGCTGACCTCCCGAGGGGTATCCACCATTTTCTGTATTGGCGACGTATACGCTCCTTAGCAAGCCGTTTGATCCCTGATAGAGTTGCTAGCTGTCCCCTTGGGACTAGTAGGGTTGTGCCCTCCTTAGCTAGGCTGTCTGCTTCTTTGTTTCCTTTGATGCCTTGGTGCCTAGGAGACCAATGGGTTCGTATATCGTGTATCCTCCTACCTCCTGGATCTCAAGTAAGACCGCTTGTGAGGAGTCTGGGACCTTGCCGCGAATCCCCTGAATAACGCTGGTGTTATCGATGCAGATGTGAATAAGGCAAGTGTCCGGAGAGCCATTTAGGATCTGTAGGTATGCGTGTCGCAGCATCGAATTTCAAGACCGGTAGTACACCTGATTAGGGATCTTGATACCTTCGGTTTACCCCCCAGAATATTGTACCTTGCATCATGGGTGATCAAGATACTATGCTGTATATCCATCCTTATGGCGTGATTTTAGAGGTGTATTTTGTGTTCGAGCGTTATTCTGCAAACCTTGTACTTAGGTCTATCACCGTCCGTAACCTTGGGCAAATGCTTCTTTTGAAAGTATTTAGTCAAGTTATTATTGTAGAACTTATAGGTAAGTTCGTCTAATCGACCCTTATCATCCGGAATTAAATCTAAGGCCTATCCGATACAGATAAAGTATCTCTTAGGCCGCTCCTTATTATTAATAATAAAGATAGATCGTATAACGAGGTCTAACTAGCCACCCTTAGGCGGATTAGAAGTAAAATAACAGACTGCGGCCTCTAGTATTAACCGAGGGCGAGACCGGGGCATAGTATATCCTACCTAGACAAGATAATATATGGAAACAGCCTCGATAGCTTCATCCCTCCTTCGATATTGACCTTTAAGCGTGGTTATGATCGGGGTAGTGAGTTTCTTTATCAGGTGCCTTTGTGCTGGGCCCTGAGGTCGACAGGTGTTGTCCGTCGCAGGGTTGGCAAATCCGATACCATGTATCTGACGCTTGATGTTATCTATGGCTTGCTTATTAGTCCATACATCTCTAATTCTCTGTTTGAGTTCTCTCCGAAGCCTCTGCTTTTTGTTCTGCCTCGCTTGCTTAACTTGGTTGTACTGTTTGGAGCCTTGCGGCAGTTCTTGAAGAGCTTTTATTAGCTCCCTGATAGTCGGATGCGTAGCGACCGATATGGATGTTACGCCCGCCGCAACTTGTCACTGTGGGCGCGGAGCTATATAATGCAGAACAAGGGACAATGATGCCGGAGTCATCATTATCGAAGCTAGTTGGTTGCCTTGTCCTGCTCGTAACAATAGACTGCTCTGATATGAGGCCGGTAGGGCGATGCTTGGAGATAGAGTGACCTATGCTGCAAGACTGCTTTATGAGCGCCTATTGTGGCTTTTCCCCTTGGAGGACGCCCTAAAGGTTGGCCGAAATGTTCCGTCCGAGGTAGTGTCTCTAGAAAGGATCGGAGTTACTATGTCCTAAAGCTAGATTCCGGAGGGCTTTGCTGACGCCGACTGTATTATAAGTTAGTATAACTAGCTAATAAGCTATAAATAACACAAACCGCTTTAATTAAACGCGTTAGCAATATTATAATATAGGTTATATATTATCGTAGGGCACTCGAACCTAAGTATTTTGCCGATTCTCTGAATCCACACCGCCATTATACTAGAGGTAATATGATCGTTAGTAGAAATTTGATAGCCCGTAAATGTCTCGATAGCCCGACGAAATATAAAAATATCATTTAGGTCCTCTCTCAACGGTAGTAGCAGCTCCTACTCGCTAAGATATATATTAAAGTTATTAAGATAATGCGGCGAGGTAAGGCTAGATATATTGAAAGCTCGGTGTCGGAAGAGGATGCCTAAGAGGAATATATAAGGGCTTAGTGTTACGACCCAACTGTTACGGCCAGCTAGTCGTAGGGGTAGTTTGCAGAAGTTGAGGCTGCGGAACTGGTAACAGTAATCGTAGTCGGGGATAGCTTCAGGGAAGCTATGTCTGTCAATCGTAAGGGTGGGTAAGGCTTCGGTGATCAATCGTAGTCTTGTCAAGGTAGTAGCTGAAAGCGGATGTTAATCCTGATACGAAGTCAATTGCTGAAGAGCTATGGAAGTCTGTCCTAGAGTCCAGCTCAAGTCCATCCTTATATACAAGTCCTGATCCTGAACATGTCCCTTGTCCCTTGGGTCGTCTTGGGTCATTCTGATCCAGAATGATCGTTTAGCCCCCATGATGATGATGATGATGATGATGATGATGTATTTAACGTCTGGTAACAAAAGGACGTGCCGGGCGCTATGCCGACATGGTCTATGCTAATCTAAACTATGTTACAGGCTACCGTCTTCACCTAACGTTCCTGTTCAATGACTCGGGCAAATTTCGGAAAAGAAATTGGTCTCCTCTATCCATTCGCATAGAAGAGAGGCTCCCTTAGCAGAACCTAACAAGAAATCAATGCTTGCTTTGGCCATACGTTCGCGGAGGAAGCGCGGTGTAGCCTTGCGTCCACGCTTGCAGAAGTATTTGTTGTTGTTGTTCTATTTAACGCCATGGCGGCAAGGGCGCAGCCGCCCTTGCGGCAGACCTCCAGGAGGGTATGTGGCGTGAAGGGTCGCAGGCTCTAGCTATATACTATATAGTACACGCCGTATCCTGACGTCCTCCAAATCTTGCTCGTGAGCTACTATGTGTTCTATCCATCCCTAGTTCCCACTGGTGCCCTAGTTCCGTTATAACCATCTGGTTTCTTAATAGAGGTAGTTTGTCGTTTGGAGGATAGGTTATGACCTATCTCCTAGTACCGCGGGCAGATCTTCTGGAAGAAGTCTGTCACGCAGAGGAAGGCCTGGAAGCCTTCAGAGTCAGTGATTAGCCCCTTGAAGTAGCGATCGAGGGACCCTATAGGTCCTACGGGCTCCTGGCGGCTGTAGGGGTAGAGGGTGGGCCACTGTTGCCTCCTCAGTAGGGTCTTTCGGCAGTAGACTAGATGGTCTGCCTCCTTAACCCACCCACAGGAGCAGGTGAGTAGTGCTTCTGTGTGGTTAAAGCGTTGGTGATATTGTTTAAAGTCCCCGTGGCCTGACCGTGCCGCGAGGAGGTGATGAAGGGCAGCCCTAGGGAGGCCAAGTTCAGGAGGGCAAGCAAGGGTAGCCTTGAGCCCTAGTTGGGTATAGCGGGGAGTTGCCTCTTGTTTCCACCATCGTCTATATTGGCGTCTTGGCCGCTCTTTAGCAAGCCACTTGATACCTGATAGAGTAGCTAGTTGGCCCCTAAGGACTGGTAGAGTTGTTCCCTCCTTAGCTAGGCTGTCTGCTTCTTCGTTTCCTTTAATACCTTGGTGCCCAGGTGACCAATGGGTTTGTATATCGTGTATCCTAG